TCTGGATAAAAGTTAGACAGGCCACGCATGCAAAAGTTGTCTTTGGAACATGCCAGTACACCAGCATCAGCAGCAGGCAGAGGAAAAAGAGAAAAAAAACAGTCTAAAGTGAAAGGATGTGATATTATAACCAGCATCTAGAACAGCCAAGGTGAAGAAATTTCAGCAGATGTTTACCCTCTGGTCAGAAGATATAACAAGGAAAATAATAATCCAGAAAAGTAAAGGGTGTGGGATGGATGGTGAGAAAGCAGCTGAGGTTATATTCAGATGCATAATTTTTATGAGTGGTCTAAAAAAGATTGTTATATTCAGCAGGTATTTATACAAGATGGGCTCAATTATCAGCTGCACAAAACAGCTGGAATGTTGCCCTAAAGGAATAGCAAAAGATTCTGCCTGACACAAGGGAATCCTCAGGTGGCACAAAGCTCCCCACAGTCCCCCTCCTGTGCAGTTGCTGCAGTGTCTGGTTGAAGCGTGGTTAAGAGAGCAGCAAAGTTATGGGGGGGGGCTGCTGTGGCCCCAGCCAGACCAGGAGTTGCTCTCATCAGTGTGGCAAGTTTCTATCATCTCTACACTTGGCATAGCTGAGAACTGAACCTGATGGGGTTAGATATTTGTAAAATGAGATAAACAGTATTTCAGGGACAAAAGTAGAACGTGGAGGTTTATTTAAGTCTTAATAATTTAGAGTCCAATCTTTCTTCCACCGAAGTCAGTGGCAAAATTCCCACTGATTCCAATGAGAACATGACTGGGTGCCTTAGTGTAGGACATATTGATAAACATATAGTTGTCATAAATTAATAGTACCCTACAATTTACATTTTTCAAAATTCATGACTAGATTATAAACACTGAAAGTTTTCATCCAAATTGTTTTGTTACCAACTTCAAAATTTCATAACTGTGTCCGTCAATAAGACTGTTTTAATTGTGTAAAAATGAAACATATCGACAAAATATTTTACACAAATATAAAGTATTCATTTTACTAATTTTCTGACACAAATGGAAATTTTATATTAACAGAAACATAAGCCAAAGTGTAATTATATTGGTCGAAACTTATTTCCACTATGCAACACTTAATGATGTCTGCCATATGCTTCTTGACATAAAATTTAAAAAAAATTGCACAGACAGATTTAATAAGCTTCTATCAAGCATTCTAGTTACTATATCCAATGGAGGAGAATAAAAATGTCTACTTCCTGTCTTAAGCTGCTTAGCTACTTAATGAAGATGTCCCTTGGATCTGTTTCTTTAGTTAGTCCTTCGACCATAAAGATTTATTTAAAGACAAAAGCATGTGATTTGGCAGGGGATACATGTTGCTTTAAAGTGAAATCTTACTTATCTGTCTGAAGCATTTGGCAACTGGAAAAAAAATCAACATATTGACTGTGCACATCATGAGTTGGCTAGCATTAAGACAATCAGTTTTTCTACTGCTTACATTTACTTAGGGACTCAGCTAGGGAGATTACTTGCTGACCACCATCCCAAACAATTAAGCTTCGTACATAACACTTTGAATTTGAGGAAGTTTCGGTACCTAAGGAGCAGTCAGATTTCTTTGATATGGTTCTATAAATTCCATTGGCTGGCAGATAATCATGCAAAAAGCACTATAAAAAGCCGCAAGCAAGAAAACAAAGAATGAGTCAGGTTCAAAACAACTGTGTTTTATCTCCTACCTGCAGAGAACTGCTTGTTTTTGCGTGGAGAACGGGGCTGACGCTGGTATGGATCACTTGATCCGTATAGGTCAATGGTTCCCATGCTCAGCAATACTGTCTTCTGCATAAAATCCACAACAGCCAAACCGTTGCAGTTCCCAAATGCAACTCTGAGAAAAGAAATGTTCCTCAAAGGCATTATACTCTGGCATTATATGATATAATTCATAAAATATCATTTAAAACAGCTACGACTGTGAATTTGCAATAATTTTCTAAGACCTTATTTTCAAAGCTTAAGTTTTTAATTGTAATTATAAATGGTTTTATAATTCTGAATTCAAACAAACTTTTGTCCTAAAATGTTGTAATTAACATTATTCAAAATAGATATAGTTCACCTTAATAAACACTCACTTTGCATGTTTTATTGTAGTAATAATATCTAAATATTGCCGTATGGTACAATATATTTGTTATAATTACAATCATGTGGTAGATAATGAAAATTAAGTGCACAAATCTTACATTATATATAACTAGGGCCCTACCAAATTCATGGACATAAAAAAAGGGTCAGAGACCGTGAAATCTAGTCTCCCCCATGAAATCTGGTCTTTTGTGTACATTTACTATAATTTTTTTTGTCCTTCCTTTTCTCCCACTGTACAAAACAAGATTCCATACAGCAACCATAGAGCTACAACTACCAGGAACCACAAAAGCAAAACGTCAGTCAGTCAGAGGAGGAACAGATAGCTAAATTTCACATTGTTATTTAAAAAATGACTAAGGCTGTGATTTTCAAAGCAGCACAAGGGATTTAGGTGTTCAATTCCCACCAAAATTCAATGGGAGTTGAGTACCTGATTTAATTTGTCTCCTTTGAAAACAGGTCCATAAAATCTTATAGTAGATGTTTAATATATATGTAGAAAAGCAATATAAGAGGGAGAATGGTATTATGGGAGAAGTGGAATGACTACAACAAACATATTCACTAGAAAAAATGGTTTCTCACCTCAGACAGCTGTTATTCTTTGAGATGTGTTGCGTATGTCCATCATACTAAGTGTGTGAATGGATTGTGCACCAGTGTTGGCGAGTTTTCCTTAGCAGTATCCACAGGGGAGACCACTCCTGAACCCTGCTGTTCTTCATGCTCCATGCCAAAAGCTTCGTGCTGGATTCTTAGATGACAGGCTCTGAGGCATTGGGGAAGGAGGGTGGGTCGTGTAATGGACATATGCAACCCATCTCAAGGAACAGCAGTTATGAGAGGAGAGTAAACATTTTTCTTTGTGTTACTGCATATGCCCATTATACTAGGTGTCTTCCAAGCAAGTTTCCACTGGAGGAAGGGCTAGGAATTTCATCGCACGAGGGACTGCAGGACTGCTTTCCTCAAATTCGTGTCTTCTCTTGATGTGGTAAATAATTGCATCTAGCAAAAGTGTGGACTGAAGACCATTTTGCCACCCTTCAGAGATCCATGATAAGGATGTTTCTTACAACCACTGTGGAGGTTGTGTGCACTCTGGTTGAATGCACAGAACTTTTCACAAGGCATTATGCCTTTGATCTTGTAATATATGACAATACAGCTGGTGATCCACTTGGAAAGCCACTGCAATGTTACAGGACGCCATCCCTTCCTTCTGCATAGGAGACAAACAGCTGGGAAGAGACCCAAACAGGCTGCTTTGAGACATGCAGCTGCCTGGATGAAGCGTTGGCAGAAGTGGATGGTTGGGGCCTCCTCCCTCCTTGCTTGTGTTTTTGCCTAGACTGATCTGCTTGTCTAGGCATATAATACTGCTGCCTTGGTTGAAACACGGGTCAAAATTTTGTTCTTTTGGGGGCTGGTGTATACAGGAGCAGGGATGTCAGCACTGGCCTAGAATCTTTTAACATATGCCGTGCTTCATCCATCTTCCAGAAGAATAAGGCACAGCCCTTGAAGGGGAGATCTTTAAAAATCTGTTGTACTTCTACAGGGATCCCCGATAACAGGAGGCATGACAAGCATCTCATGGTTCCTGCCAACAATATGACTTTGTCAGCCGAGTCTGCCACATCCAGGGAAGTCAGAAGAGCAGACAGTGCGACCACCGCATCTGTCCCCTGTGTCCTGGTCTTCACCCAGGTTCTGTCCCCCATCCCTCATTGTGTCCAGACTCCAGTCCTGTATTATTCCCCCCCATTGTTCTAACCATGTATTGCATGGCTCCCCTCCCCCAGCCTCACATCAGAGCCCCAGCTGGCTGGGTGCAGCTCCTCCTGAACCCTGGGTGACCTTCAGATTGACATCCAGAAGGGTTCACTCAGGAGGGCCAGAGCCAGAATCGGTGGGGCAGATGAAGCCCCATCTCACAAGTCCTAGCACATGGTACTCTTAGAGATAGATCCCTAATGTGGGGTGGGGCTGGACAGAACTGCTGGCTCCTTGGGTTGGGGGATCCCAGTGGGGGTCCTTCCAGGGAAACCTGTTTATAGAAGAGCAAGCTGCTATATTTTCCGCTTTGTCACCCTAAAGGGGAACTGACCAGGAGGTAGGAGGGGGCATTCAGGAAGCTGCAGGGCAGCAGATTGTCTTAAGCAGTCACTGCTTGGAGGATGCCCTAGATTCCCTGAAGTGGGAGACAAAGGAACCCACTTCATACGGCGAGGAGGAGTAGGATGTCAAAGCCATTCTCTTCTTAGGCTTCAGAGGCTGAGGGTACTCAAAGAACTTGTCTCTCTTTGAGGAATGCCCTGATGAGGGGGAATTTCTCCTGTCTCCATTCACAGGTGAAACTGGGGGAACACTCTTGGACAGAGTGTTGAGGAATGACCTCTATCCGACTGAGTTGGATCCAATGCTGTGGGAAGGGTGTCTCCATGAAGATGTATCTGAGATGCTCTTCTCTGAGCTTGTTAGTTCTTGTCTTGAAGCCCTGTCAAATCAGGTACCTGTCCCTCGCCCAAGCACTTCAGACAGTGAGGGTGAGGGATACTCATGGCCAACGGCCTGGGACACTCAGAGTAGGGCTTGAAGCCAGGGGATCTTGGCATAAGTTCCCCCAGAACCACTTAAGCCCAGAGTTCAGACTACTGAGAGCAGGAACAAATAGAAAATAAAGAAAATGGGGTCCAAGGGAGCCAAAATGAGTACCGCTATTACTAACAACAACTAACTATAACAGAACATTCACAGAAGGAATGCACTGACAGCATGCTCCAATCACCGACCATGGATCCGCCCTTAGACTTTCAACAAGGGTTTGTTGGGTTAAATAAGAACATTCACAATTATATGAGACAGGGTAACATTTTGTATACAGTATACAAACCTTCATGTTTCAGGGCATAGGCCAACCTCTAACTGATGGGGGTTTACAAGGAAACTATCCCTATTGTCCATTATGGAGATTCTTGAATCTTTCTATGAAGTATCTGGTACTACCAACTGTCAGAGACAGGGATTTGGATTAGATGGACCACTGGGCTAAGCTGGTAAAGCAAGTCCTATGTTCCTACATAAATAAAAGACCAGTTTGTACTAAGCGAGTAAAAGGGATCAAAATGAGGCAACATAGCACTGTAGAAAAAGAAGACTGGAGCATGAACAAAACACAATCTCTTTTATGTGATTTTAGACAGCAGAAGTGCTAGTCATCTGCCTCTAGAAAATTATGTGCCTGAGGCCTTTGTTGAACACAGTAAAAATAAAAATAAAAAACATGTAAAGAAGTAGTGATCAGTGAGAACTTTCTGGGAGCAACCGTTAAAAAAATACTCTAAATACAATAGTAAGGACCAAGGAAGGAATGTTTCCTGCTAATAGCCAAGCATTTGGCTACGGGAGAAAATCAGGAGAAACGAGTCCTTATCACCCTCAAGGCCATCTGACTGTTGTAAGAAGGATTTTTTAAGGGAATGGGACATTGCACGAGGCATTCTAGATAAAGAAGGAGTCTCTGGCATTGGTTTAGCATAAGGACAATCAGGCCCAGAAAGCAAAGACAGAGCGGTACAGTAAAGGTGGTTTAAGCCCAATTCAACCTGATCTTTCGGAACATTCATGAAAACAGGGGAGGAACAGATAGGCACCCATGTTAATGTAAGACTAATCACGGTTTACAGTGTGTCTGGTGGTAGAATACCTCCTAATTGAGATTACACTCTCCAGGGATTTGGGTCTGGTAACTCATCCAGTCTGCCTGAATATTGTCTTTTGGCCATGATGTACATCACTCTCATGGAAAGTGCTGGAGTGCATCTGTGATGGTCCTCACTCGGAGGTTGGTTGGTCAGATAGTGTCCTCCGGTGGTCAGGGCTAAGGCCCATGACCTGCAGGGAGGTTGTTGGTAGGGGAGCCCAGACCTTCCCACTTCACTAGGCTCCCACCCAGGGCCCTTTGAGGGCTGTCAGTGATCTGACAGCCAAGGCTGCTTAAGGGACCGCCCCTCTCTGGGCCATTTCCTATCTCCCCACCTGTGACTGTCCCCAGGCTGCCGGCTGGGTTAAGGTGGTGTGAAGGGTGCCTGCTCACCACAATGCACCTTCTGGGGTCAGTGTACAGTGTGGTAACTCTCTTTCTCAAGTGGCAGCAGTTGCCTCCTCCTGTGGTACGGTCCAGCCTCCAGGGCCAGCTCAGTCCAAGGGCTCTCCCCTGCTGGGGTAGTCCAAACAAAAACAAAAGGGATTACCGAAGTCCAGAGTTCATATGAGGGGAGAGGGAAATGTTGCTCTATCAGGCTGCCTCTGTGGCAGGTTCTCCCTTCTCTCTGGAAGGGACCTTTGGGCAGTTGTCTTAGGGAGAGATTCTGCCTTCCCTGGAGCAGCAGCTTGCAGGTCTGCTCTCTTGCTTGGTCTGCCACCAAATGAGCGGTTCCCCCATCTTTTAACTCCTCCTCCAGTTGGAGCATTTCCTACAAGTATGGTGGGGTGGGGCTGGCTGGGCCCAAAGTAATTCCTTAACCCCTTGTTGCCAAGCATTGGGTTTGTTCACCCCATCACAGCATCTTAAGAATATAAACCCACTGCTTGTGAGCACTGCTTTATAACATATCCTCATATACTGGCATATTCTATGGTCAAACAACTGAATGGAGCCCAAAAAACAGATTTCCTGAGGAAGAATTTCTGAAGTGGCAAGAAGGTAGCAGGCCCGATGATAAATATCTATACAGGTTGCATATCAGCATAATAGATATAAGCCTGGCCACCACTGTCTGGTTTTCTGACAGAATTTTTTTCAAGAAAGCATTAATGACCTCTAACCAGTCTGAAGAGCATAATTAAGCTTTCCTGAATTAGGTAGGTTTTTATTCTATTGGTTCTCAGTTTTATTCTTTCTAAAGCACTTCCATAATTTAGCTGCTTCAGACTAGACAGGTGAGGTTTCATAATCAACTTAGGAGACAGAAAAACCTACTCAAACTCCTTACACGTTCATGTGGGGTGCCATCAGAATTTTGGGAGATCATTAGTAAAAGAAACCCTTACCAACTTGTTAAAAAAAAAATCAGTGCACCAGTTCAGTATATGTTTTTTAAAAAACTTTGTAAGTGGTCCAAATCAAAATGGATTTTAATTAGACCACACAAAAGGCACGTCTGTGAGCTAAAGGTCATAGATTTTTTTTTATAATGGTAAAAGGATTTCCCCGACTTTCTTTATACTTGAAAACAGTTAAACTGTTTTTGCTCAAATTTCCCAAAACACTTGACCCCTTCAGGCAGAGATCAGACCTAGAAAATTTCACCCCAACGATGAAAGTCTGAAAAAGTTATAAGCAACCGCAAAAGAAAAACTCTTTAGATTGACAGTGGCCAAACTTAACTATAGATGTATTAGAGAGACAAGTTGGGTGAGGTAATATCTTTTATTGGACCAACTTCTGCTGTTCAGAGAGAGACAAGGTTTTGAGCTATACAGAGCTCTTCCTCAGGACACACACGGCTACAACAATGCATATAGGTGTGTTATGCATTCCAGCTATACAATATTGACTATAAAGAAGGAGGCTTAATAATATCTTTGACAGAGGAACAATATAATTAGGAAAAGATTATTACTACCAGACCTAAAGGCAAATAAATAATTTCTATGTCTTCTGTATGCAATCATAAACCTAATGAAGAGTTCAGACTGAATTTCTTATTTCCCACTGGCTACTGTACTTGCTAAATGCTAAGAAAGGACTGGTACTGAAAGAAACTGCATATTACATGCAGCATATCATTCAACTTCTTAAAGCTGATTTTTTTGGGGGAAGGGAGGAATGCTTGTGCTTTTCATTAATTAATTTAATATTTTTCATAATAGCAAAGCTAAAACTTTGATCAGAGATTTCTTGGCAGTTAATATTTGGAGGGGCTAAGGACCTTGGGCTCAGGTGGAGGGCTAGGGAACACACAAACTGGTCATTCATTTTCAGGAAAGGCCTTCTTAGCTGGTCATTGTTTAAATTTAATTTAATATTTTTATAGATTTTAAAATATACTAAGATATACCTGCAGAATTTTGCCACACTTTTTTCTACTTTTATAATGAAAACCAGTAGTGTGATGATTCTCTTTAATTGCATGAAAGTGTAAATATTTCTAATTTTCAGCTTGCAAGAGCTCAAAGTAAACAGAAATAAAGTGAAATATATTGAATTTCACAATACATCAACTGCCTTATATTTGTTGAGTGTAAGGTGTTTTTTTTATACATGCTTTAAATAAATAATAAATTAATGGAGATATCCCATCTCCTAGAACTGGAAGGGACCTTGAAAGGTCATCGAGTCCAGCCCCCTGCCTTTGCTAGCAGGACCAAGTACTGATTTTTCCCCAGATCCCTAGGTGGCCCCCTCAAGGATTGAACTCACAACCCTGGGTTTAGCAGGCCAATGCTCAAACCACTGAGCTATCCCTCCCTTTTTACCTGTAGTAATGGTGTGACAGCTGTGGAGCTGCTATGTACTACTCTATGTATGAACATGGATATGTAATAAAGGTATGACTATTGTACATTGCCTGCTCAGTGAGATAAAGTTATTGTATAACTAGGCATAGATGATGGAAGTAAGGGTGCTTGAAGTGGTTTCCATTATATATAGGGCTTACAGTTTGGTTCAATGGCTCTCAGCACCCACACTATAAAAATTGTTCCAGCGCCCCTGTAACGATGGTGGGTTATCAGAATTTCCCGTATGACTGCACTGATCTAATTTAATAGGGGGCTGTGGGAAGAATAAACAGGAAGGCAACACAATGGTCCCACATAAGCAACCTCCCAACAAACACCGGGGGAAATTACAAGATAATGGCCTATTTCAAGGCTCTAGGATGAACTGACAGCTGTTTTCCCAGGGGGGGAGGCCAGAGATCAAAAGAACACTAAAGAGTTAGAAAGTATCCTGAGGAAGAGAAGGGGCTGTCACTTGTCAAAAGCTGCCTAGGAAGACAGGCTGAGACAGAGATACTATGTGGAGGCAGTCTAAAGCAGTCGGGCCTTCCCAGATCAAGGGAATGGTAAACCTTAGGGAAAAGCTCAATATGCATACAATCAGTTTCATTATTTTTAAGATCTGTATTCTCTGAAATGCTTTTGTTCTGAATAAGCAATATTTTGCTTCAAACAGGCTGGCTGGTTACCCTAGGTGCTGCAACCTGGGGTGCTGGAGGTGCGGCTGCACTCCCTGGCTTTAAGTTGTTTCCACCATATACAGGGTTTACAGTTTGGTTCAATGGCTCTCAGCATCCCTACTATGCAAATTGTTCCAGCACCCTTCCTGGTCGCTGCTTACCACTGTCATTGCTCCCAGAGAATAGAACAGAATTCCAGCTGCAGGCCATAAATCAAAGTGCTGAGGTAATCATGGGTAGTACCAGGGCACTGCAACCCAGGGCCCAGACTGAGGATGGAGAAATGAGTGATTCCACCCAGAACCAGGTGATGGCTAGACCTGGAAAGGGGTGCACTCAATGAGATCAGGAAGGGTCAAAGGTGAAGTTTGCCTAGGTATTGTGAAAAATGCATTCTGGCAAAGGTAAAATTAATGAAATTCCTAGATTTCATGACTAGGAGCTGACTAGTACCTCAGGACAGACAAATATTTTCACACTAATACAAAGGTTATGGCTGAGATTTTCAAAGGAGCTTCTGAGGGGCAAGTGCTCAAATTTATACTGAAAGTCAGTAAGAGCTGGGCACCTAATTCCCAGAGGCCCCCATGGAAACGCCAATCTTTATACCTGAGTGATATCTTCTCTACCAGAAACAAACTTGTAAAGACTCTTTTCCTGATTTGATGCACACGTGCAACACCCATTAGTATTAAATGGAATCAAATGGGCCGTGCTGGTTGGAAAGGATACATGGCCAGTGCATCCCCACCACAACCTTTTCCAGCTGGTTTTCTGTAGAGACCTAGCCATAAACTAAAACTGTCCCTTCTAACAAGTACCCAAGTGAAGGCAGCAGTGACACCAGTGCCTGCCTTCTATCAAAGTGTCACAGGGAAGTCTAATTTATACCCCCTTGTGCCATCTGCAGATAATCTGGTGATTATTTTAAGAAATCGTAAAAAAAATTATAACTCAGAAAGGTATTATGTTTTGATTAAAAGGACAGGGATATATGTGAAAGATGCGATCATGAGAATGTCAGATGAACTTCTCATATTACATCCTTTATGCGGGTTACTTGTTCTTGTAATTTTTTACCCAAGAACCAAGCTTAAAGCAAATTTTGATTTTTCATGGTGACTTTTAAGTGTCTGCAGGGAACTTTAAAGTACAACTGAAACATACATTGCTTATCTGAGTAAAGAATAAATCAACACAACATGATTTTTAGTTACTTACAATCCATAGGCTGAGTTTATGGCCAGACTGGTGATTTGTTGTGGAGGCTCACCATCCACCCACACCAACTGAATAACAAGTTCTGCTTGGTACCCAGGAGGCATTCGCACAGGTCGAGTCTTAACACTAAGAAGAAAAAGGGACACAAAACAGAAACACATAAACAAAACGATTAGGGCACAATAATAGAAACTATTTACCCTGAGGAGATAATAGTGAAACCAACTTCCCTTGTAGGACTGGATCAGCACTGAAGAGGAATTCCCACCACACTTTTAATATAATTGTAGATTAAGACTATATGTTCCAATTAGAGCTGTGTAGAGAAGAAAAATTTCATTTCATTGAGGGTTTCAATGAGGTTTCAGATTAGGAATGAAACCTGAAAATGTCAAAATTCTCCACAAAAGAAAATTCAAAATTTTTGTTTGTTTTGGGTCAATTGAAATGTTTCATTTCAACAACATTGTTTTGTTTCATTACAAATTCAACTTTTTAAAATTTTATAATATATAGTGGAAAATAAAACAATTTAGAAACAAAAAGTCATTTCAAAAGAAAAAAATTGAAACATTTCATTCAAAAAAAGCGTTGAAATGTCGGAAATAGTTTTCCCATTTTTACCCAAACAAAATTTCTGCTAAATCAACAATCACTCTGTGAATAATTTCTATTTCAGTGGAACTGCATTTTCTGATGGAAAATGAAATGATTGTGTCAAAGTTTTTCCAACCAAGCTCTAGTTCCAATTCAACCAATTCCAATCCAAGAAAAGGTTCAGAAAAGGGCAACTAAAATGATTAAGGGTTTGGAACGGGTTCCATATGAGGAGAGATTAAAGAGGCTAGGACTCTTCAGCTTGGAAAAGAGGAGACTAAGGGGGGATATGATAGAGGTATATAAAATCATGAGTGATGTGGAGAAAGTGGATAAGGAAAAGTTATTTACTTATTCCCATAACACAAGAACTAGGGGTCATCCAATGAAATTAATAGGCAGCAGGTTTAAAACAAAAGGAAGTTCTTCTTCACGCAGCGCACAGTCAACTTGTGGAACTGCTTACCTGAGGAGGTTGTGAAGGCTAGGACTATAACAGAGTTTAAAAGAGAACTGGATAAATTCATGGTGGTTAAGTCCATTAATGGCTATTAGCCGGGACGGGTAAGGAATGGTGTCCCTAGCCTCTGTCTGTCAGAGGGTGGAGATGGATGGCAGGAGAGAGATCACTTGATCATTGCCTGTTAGGTTCACTCCCTCTGGGGCACCTTGCATTGGCCACTGTCGGTAGACAAGATACTGGGCTAGATGGACCTTTGGTCTGACCCGGTATGGCCTTTCTTATGTTCTTATGTTCTTAACGATAAAGAACCAACCCTGTAAAATTATTTGTGGTACTCTTTGCTCTCTGTCATGCCTATGGTTAATTCCTATACCTCCTCCTGCATATCACACATGCTGCTCCTGGGATGCAAATTTCTGTGTCCATGGACCCAGATCTGTAGATCCTGCTGTAACCCAATCCTAACTAGATAAGTGCTTAAATTAAATATTATTATGGGGGATTCTATTCAGTGGTGATTGATAAAATCTGAGAAATTCAAGAGTGGCTGTGCTTTAAAAGGCCACATAAAGTGTTGCTTTACCATTTAATTTCCCCTTCTTATCTATCTAGCCCAGGGAATGGCAACCTTTGGCACGCAGCCCATCAGGGAAATCCGGTGGCGGGCCGGGACGGTTTGTTTACCTGCAGCATCCGCAGGTTTGGCCAATCACAGCTCCCACTGGCCACAGTTCACCGTTCCAGGCCAATGGGGGCTGCAGGAAGTGGCAGCCAGCACATCTCTCAGCCTGCACTGCTTCCCACAGCCCCCATTGGCCTGGAATGGCGAACCGCGGCCAGTTGGAGCTGCGATTGGCTGGAGCTGCTATCGGCTGAACCTGTGGACACTTTATTTTGTACAGCTACCTTCACATCTCCTCTAAACTGGGTCAGTTTTTTAACCAGCACAACCTTCTTCCTCTCTTGTAGGATTGTGGCTTTTTGGGCATCTAGTAAGATGCTCTGAAATGATTCTCAATTATCATTCAGTAGAAGAATTGCCAGCAGATCGAGGGATGTGATCATTCCTCTCTATTCGGCATTGGTGAGGCCTCATCTGGAGTACCGTGTCCAGTTTTGGGCCCCACACTACAAGAAGAATGTGGAAAAATTGGAAAGAGTCCAGCGGAGGGCAACAAAAATGATTAGGGGGCTGGAGCACATGACTTATGAGGAGAGGCTGAGGGAACTGGGATTATTTAGTCTGCAGAAGAGAATAATGAGGGGGAACTTGATAGATGCTTTCAATTACCTGAAAGGGGGTTCCAAAGAGGATGGATCTAAACTGTTCTCAGTGGTAGCAGATGACAGACCAAAGAGTAATGGTCTGAAGTTGTAGTGGGGGAGGTTTAGGTTGGATATTAGGAAAAACTTTTTCACTAGGAGGGTGGTGACGCACTGGAATGGGTTACCGAGGGAGGTGGTGGAATCTCCTTCTTTAGAGGTTTTTAAGGTCAGGCTTGACAAAGCCCTGGCTGGGATGATTTAGTTGGGGATTGGTCCTGCTTTGAGCAGGGGGCTGGACTAGATGACCTCCTGAGGTCTTTTCCAACCCTGATATTCTATGGTTCTATGATCATATTTATCATATATTCTTTCTCCTAGCTGATTTGGCTCACAATTGTTTTCAGCTTTGGAAAATTGGCCCTATTAAAGCACCAAGTGTATATATTGCTGGCTAGACTTTACTCTGCTTGACATTATAAATGTGATCAAGTCATAATCACTTGTACCTAAGCTACCATTAACTTCTTTATCCGTTAAGATAAGGTCTAATACAGAATTCCCCCATTTAGGCTGCAGCACTTTTTGAGTTAGGAACTTGTCATCTATAATGTTTAGTAATTCCACGGATGTTTTAGTATTGCCAGCACGAGACCTCCAGTTTATGCCACTCAGATTGAAGTCTCCCATGATCACACAGTTTTTCCCCCTACACATTATAGATAGGTGTGTAAGGAGGTGCTTATCCTGTTCTCTAATGAGATTTGGTGGTCTGTAGCAAACACCTACTAGTACCCCATTTTGTGCTTTATCTGTTAGGACATTGATCCATAAGAATTCAAGATAATTTTCTTCCAAGTTATCAATGACTCAGAAACAGGTAATGCCATTTTTGATGAAAAAGTGCCACTCCCACTCCCCCTTTGCTCACTTGATCCTTTCTAAATAGGTTAGAACCATTGATTTTAACATTCCAATTGTGAGAACATCCCACCATGTTTCAATAAAATCAACTAGATCAAGTGAGCAATTCCAATTCCTCGTTTGTTAGCCAGGCTCTTAGCATTATTGTATAGGCAATTAAAGAATTTCTTCTCATCATGTTCTTTGGTTCCTTGATTAATTTTGTTCTCAACATCTCAAATTTGGGCTAAATGCTCACATTTTCCCTCTTTTTACCTTCCCTTTTTGCTATTAGTTTAATCCGCTCCTGACTACTCTAGCCAGCCTGTCCCCAAGGAGATTCTTCCATTTAATATGTTAGTTTAACAAACTATGAAGTATATGACCATAATGGAGAGATTTCTGAACAGACATTTCTCTACAGAGAGGAACTAAACTTAGAAAAGTAATTGAAGACTCAGCATTCTCTGCGCTCCACAGTACCTGCGGGAAGAGAGGGGATGTTTCCTTCTCTCCCTGTGCCTCCCCTCCAGCACATTTGGCCGCTCTCCCTGGCAGCTGAGCGGGGAGTGGACGGAGCCGCTTCTGCCTAGGAGAGCCTGTCTAGGAGTCAGCAGCGGCCCACCCCCTGCCCGGGCTCAGCTGCCGGGGACAGGGGCCAAGCATGCTGGGGGGGAAGAGGTACTCCAGCTCGCTCGGTCCCTGTCCCCGGCTGCAGGACCTGGGTGGGGGGCTGCCAGCTACCGCCCCATCTGCTGGGGACAGGGGCCGAGTGAGCTGGAGCCCCCTCTCCCCCCAGCATGTTTCCAGGACGTTGACAAAGACAACTGGATGTTGAAGAGACATTGGAAGTCTGGAAACAGAGTCTTGTTATTATTACAGCTACATTTTTATGACAGTGATGACATTGCTCTCTCAAATAAGCAAAGACTCCACCAAGGCAGTTCTGGAAATGTTGTTGTGTTCTAACAGCCTTCACAGAAACCTCACTATTCAATATTCTCATCACTTCTCTGATTTTTTCAAATACATAATTTTTTTCCATTCACATTTTGAAATAAGAGCCTAACGTTTCTAGTATCAAAAAATCTTTTCAAATATATATTACGTTCATGGAAATGCTTCATAGTGACAGAGAAGTTCAAACCATGGAAAACAACCAAACAAACAACAAAACACCTCAGAGTAAAGTCCTAGCCCCACTGAAGTTAATGGCAAAACTCTCTGACTTCTGTGGGGCCAGGATATCACCCTGGGTTGTTTCTTTGTTTTTTTCCTTTTTCCATTCCGTCTCCCACTGACATCAGTGAGAGTGAGCACCTTCTTAAAGTTCATCTGCTTTGTTGAATAAGGATGGACTGATGGGTGCCAAAGTGAATACAGCCACATATGTATAAAGAACATATCTTTTCTTATGCTAATTAGATGATGTTTCTATGTTCTAAAACATTACTTTCAGGAGCCCAAAAGACAGAGCTGTCAGTCACTGTTTATTTAAACTGATTTTGAAACAAAATGAGACATATTTAATAATATTTAAAGTAATTATGAATGCACTAAAATAAAAATAAACATTGATCTCTGCAATGTGGGGCTGGAAGGGGCTTGAGAGGTCGTCTAGTCCAGACCCCTGGGCTGAGACAGAATCAAGTATACCTAGACCATCCCTGAAAGGTGTTCGTCTAACTTGTTTTTAAAAACCTCTGATAGAAATTCCACAACTTCCCTTGAAAGCCTATTCCAATGCTCAACTATCCTTATAAACAGAAAGTTTTTCCTAATATCTAATCTAAATCTTCCTTCCTACAGATTAAGCCCATACTTCTTGTCCTACCTTCCATGGTCATGGAGAACAATTGATCACCATCCTTTTGATAACAGTCCTTAACATATTTGAAGTCTGTTACCAGGTCCACCACCACTCTTCTTTTCTCAAGACTAAACACATCGAGCTTTTTTAACCTTTCCTCATAAATCAGGTTTTCTAAAACTTTTATTATTTTTGTTGCTTTCCTGTGGACTCTCTCCAATTAGTTCACATCTTTCCTAAAGTGTGGCACACAGAACTTCACACACTACTCCAGCTGAAGCTTCACCAGTGCAGAGTAGAGTGGGACTATTACTTCCTGGGTTTTATATATGGCACTCCTATTAATACACCCCATAATTATATTAGCTTTTTTTGCAACTACATCACATTGTTGGCTCATATTCAATTTGTGATCCACTATAATGTCCAGATCCTTCTCAGCTGTACTACCAGCTAGTCACTTTGTAGCTGTGCATTTGATTTTTCCTTCCCAAGTGTAGTACTTTGCACTTTTCTTGAATTTCATCTTGTTGATTTCTGACTAATTCTGCAATTTGTCCTTTTGAATTCTAATCCTGTCCTCCAAAGTGCTTGCAACCTCTCTCAGCTTGGTGTCATCCGAAGATTTTATAAGCCTACTTTCCACTCCATTATCCAAGTCATTAATGAAAATATTGAATAGTACCAAACACAGGACAGACCCCTGCAGGCCTCCACTAGATATGTCCTCCCAATTTGACAGCAAATCATCAATAACTACGCTTTGATTACGGTTTTTCAACCACTTGTACATCCAGCTAATACTAACTTCATCTAGACCACATTCCACTAGTTTGCTCCCCCGATATTAAGCCAGTAACTCCACGTCTATCTCATGTTATTACCTTTATGCTTTTTATTATTGTTTTATAAATACATAGTTTTCTTCTATAAATACATACAAGTTTTTCCTCAAAGGAAGATCGTAGCTCCATACCAGAAGAAGTGCACATACTGGTAGTTTTGGACATGACTCTTTTATGGAGATCACTTTGTCAACACAAAAGACAATACTTTCCTCTGTAAACTAAAGGCTGATGCATGCTGAGATGCTTGTTTGTTTTCAGTTCAAAATTTTGGACTTCTTTTTTTTTTGCACTCTCATCAGTTTACAAGTCCAGATCTAATTTATAGGCCTCTCTCAACACAAAGTCTTCTTTGGCGTAATTGCTTATCAAGTGTCTTCCTAATCTTTATTTCAGATTATTTTCCCCTGATGTATTAAATTGTCTTTGTCTCATTTAATAATTTATATTAAATATTTCTATTTCTAACCATTTTAAACCCCTTTATATTATTTATCTCACTGCTGTTTGCCACAGATTCCAGTTTAGTATCATCTATGAATTATATTAACATATTGTTTATCCTCCTTTTCCAATTCATTAATAAGTTGTTAAATATGATTTATTTGAATGAGTAGAATGCATTTTGGAAGGGTAAGTCTTTAAATAAGTGCATTACTTTACCTAAGACATGGGATACTGTCCTTCATCGTTCCTTCACATGCCACAGTGTTGGTACTGCCTGAAAGGCTCTTTAAGGAAGGAAGTTGGGATGAGGCATCAGGAAACGGAGGAATTATTTCTGGTTCAGGAGTAATGATATCTTCTACGTCATACTGAAGTCGCACCTCTAATGACTGAAGTAAATAAAAATCTAAGTTACAATTTATTAAAATGAGCTACTTAGACTTCATTGCTTTTAAATAGATAACACTAATTCCGTTTCTAACAATAAAAGCACATTTATCATTGCTTTTTGCTATTAGAGATGGTTACTCATTAACATCTCAATACCAGCATCTGAAAACAATCCATCTGTCCCCAAGTTGGTAGGGAAATACCCAGCTGTATTCTTCCACCAATAACTGTGACTCGGGCCTTTTCTGGCTGGTGAAAGAGACTGAGGGCAACTGGGGCCCCTACAAATAGAGATTGCTAACACTTCCTATGAAGAGGGAAATCTAGCGCACAGCACAGAACTGACATGCTGATGGCATTGATGGGTGATCTTCCCTTGTCCACAGACAAGAGTCAGGCAATCACAATGAGATAACATAAGGTTCTTGCTCATTGGAAAACCACATCTCTGGCACGTGAGCTCAGAAGCTTCTAGCAATCATTGTCCAGTGGATTGCTCCATCCTTCCCCCTCACTCTAGGTTCCCAGGATGTGAAAGAGGATGTGGGCATAATCATCCTGCATTTCTTCTCCCTAATTCAGGAAACCTTAACCCAAGACTTCATGGGCAAGGGGAAGATTGGCAGGAAGTATGAATCAATATGGGCAACCATCGTGGAGAACCACAGTTACCAAGGGAAGTTATTGATTTTTCTCCTTTGTGAACTGTCCAAATGGATCCTTATTCTGGAGAGATTAAGAAGCAGCAATGACCATCCAGGAGGTGGTTCTGAGAAATACTAACTAAATAGTGACTGCAGGACTGCTCTGCTGAATTGGACATCAGATCTATGTGGAAGTGGAAGATCCAGAGGTCGCAGAATGGTGTATGTCTTGCCAATTTGTTTTTGGGTATCTTGCAAAGGCATCCCCTGCTGGGGGTTTACTGGAGATTCCCATCACCTCATTCAATGACCTTTCTCTGTATTTCCAAAGAAAGGCACGCTGTTCCCTGCAGATCTCCTCAAAAGGTTGGTCAAGGAGCCATACCAGGGAAGGACTGATGCTACTGGTAGAGTGGAAAATGTCACAAGCCCCTTTCCTCAGAAGCTTGCTGCGGAGCCACTTAGAAGTGATCTTGGATCCCATGTCAGCTGGACATCCTCTGTGTACCCATAAGGGGAGAGTCAGCATGATCAGGAAGGAATAGTTTCAGGTGGCAAAATGGAAAAAAGAGCCTTATGATATGCCTATACCACCACCTGGAAACCTATTCTTTCTACAGAGAAACTACTGATCTGGAGTGAAGAGCTGTGTGTCTGAGCCAGAGGAAGGTACAACTGATGAAGGAAGGCAGAGGAGAGGCGTTGGTGGAGATGGCGGTGCCCAAAATTCAGCAGACCTGACTGGATGTGCCATCTGTATAAGAGACTATGGTGAAACAGCCCTTCACAAAAGAATTATTCATGTAAACAGTTCTAAATTGGAGACAAAATTTGAGATATGGAATATTGAATGTGCACAGATTATTACATTCAGCAAAATGTCATTCATTCCTTGTGACAATTTAGCTGAAAAACAGAAAGGTGGGGAAATAAAGTATGTAACAAGTGTGGCAGATATGGCGCTCCTACATAATCATCTAAGAATACTGAGATATAATAATGTTATGAATATTGTATGTGATGTGGTCAGTGAAGTAATTTTATTGTGTATTGAGTGGTATGACTTTCCTGCAAGAATGTATTGATCTAGCTTAATAGGGTGCTATGGGAAAATCAAACATGAAAGTGACACAATAACTAGAAATAAGCAAACCTCCCAAAAAACATGGGTAGGGGAGGGGGGCAGGTAATTACAGCACAATGGCACACTCCCAGGATCCAGACCAAATTGACACCGCAGTTTTGTCAGGATGGGAGCCTGGAGCTCCTGAACATTAAAAAACCCTCTCAGGGGAAGAAGGAGAATCAGTTGTTAGGAGCTGTCCAGTGGACAGGTTGAAACAGAGGGAGACTCTGGGGAAGGAGTCTGAAGAAGCTGGACCTTCCCCAGATCCAGGGAATGGTAAGCCTTAGGGAGGTGCAGGCATGCATAGAGGCTGGATTATTGTTTTAAGATTTGTTTTCTCTATAATGCTGTGGTTCTAACTAAATAATATGTTGGTTTAGGAAGGCTGTTTGGTCACTCTATTAACCACTGTTCATTGTTATCAGAGGGAACAGAACTCCAGGTGCTGAGACTAAGTTAGATCTGCTGAGATAATCATGGGTAGAATCTGGAGACTGCAGCCCAAAGACCAGTCTGAGAGTGGGAGAACTGAGGGCTTGGCTACACTTGCAAGTTAGAGCGCATTAAAGCAGCCCCAGGCGCCCTAACCTCTGACGCGTCCTCACTGGCAAGGTAGGTAGAGCGCCTGGACTCTGCAGCTGGAGCACTCCTGGTAATCCACCTCCACGAGAAGCATAAAGCTTGCTGCGCCCTGGCTGAAATGCCCGGGTGTCAGCGTGAATGAGGTGTTGCATTACTGTGCTGTGACTGGCCTCCGGAAACGTCCCATAATCGCCTGAAGTCAAGTGGCCACTCTTGTCATTGTTTTGAACTCAGCTGCAGGAATGTGGATATCCCCTTTCAAAGCTCCGTTTCTGATAGCCAGCATGCTTATCTGCTCCGGGACAAAGCAAACCATTGCTGTGGAATGCTGTGTGAGAGAGAGAGAGATGGGGGAGGGGAGTCTACTGCTGTCTGAACTTACAAGACAGCATGCTGACACACTCTCTGCACCCCAAAACACACTGTCTCTCCTCCCACATACACACAAGACACTCCCTGTCACACTCCACACACACCCCCCATTTGAAAAGCATGTTGCAGTCACTTGCACGCTGGGATAGCTACCACAATTCACTGCTCTTTGTGGCATTGCAAGAGCTGCTAATGTGGCCATACCAATGCGTTTCCAGCTGACACCCTAAAAACACGGCAGCATTTTCCCTGCTGCGGTCTCCGAAGGCTGGTTTAACTCCCAGATGGCTCTACATCTGCAAGTGTAGCCATGCCCTGAATGATTCACAGAGGTGAAAGCTTACGACCTGAAACCTGAGGGAGATGCACTCGAAGGGACCAGGAAGGGTCAGAGGGGCAGTTAGCCCAATATTCGTGACAATAATGTTGACCGTTTAGATATAAATCATCTGCCACTTCGTTGCAGAAACAAAGTCAGCATTAGTTGATTAAAATATATTAAACCAGAAAAAAAACAACACTTTTACTTTGTCAAAGACTGGAAAATATTAGGTTCTTTTGTATTACAAGCACTATGAAGATAAACTAAAATAAAGCCTTCAAACTCCTGAGTTAAAAGAGAGTGATATTATCATACAATGAAATAAATTAATGTTTAGTATCAAAGCAGCACAGATAACTTATCTTGTATATTAGTGTAAAATTATTTACTGAGAATATTTGGTCTGTTCTTGGGTGCCAAAATGTACCTTGGATGATAAAAACACATATGACACCGCACCAAGTATTTCTGGAGCAAGCAACTAAAACACAGACCCATCCTGATGGCTTGGAAACAGCCTAAGTCTTGACTTATTACTATATTTTATTCCTATTGCGAAAGGTTGGAATCCTGGCCTCACTAAAATCAATGTGAGTTTTGCAATTGGCATCAGTGGCCCTAAGATTTCACCCACAACGTTTAAACATGAATGCTCCTAAATTTATACTTAGAAAGCTTAACAGAAGTTTTATTTAGGTACATAACTATGGATTGAGCAGCCTCACACGAGGCACTCAAATTTGAAAACGATGGCTTATATTATTTACTCTTTTCAATCAACATCATATGTGAGCAAAATTCTTAATAACTTACCACTATTTCAGTATTCACTTCGTGTTTGCTGAATCTGTAAACAATAACATATGCAGAGACTCCCGCCACACAGAATATTCGGCTTTCAGGGCACCAGTACATCATCTGAATGGCAAAAGGATCTTCTTCTACAATCTCAGTTGTTGGTTTTCCTTCCCCTAGCTTCTGTTTTTCAAACACTTTTGAGGTTTTTAACTTGTACAACATCTGTAGAGTTACTGCAAAATATTACAACATATCTACAATTATTGTTTAACATTAAACAAACCTATACCTCACCTCTAGTTATAAGGTGTCTTAGCTGCTACTGTTTTTCAGTCATGACATAGTATAACATGATATGAAGGCTCAACTTAACAGAATAATAGAGAGTAATGTTAAGCTTTATGTTTCATATTTCCAGTAATGGATATTTGTATATGGGTCATTGTTAGCACTCGCTTTTCTGGACCAGAAAGGCAAAAGTCATGAGTTTCAGACACACACCTAGACTTAGGCACTTACTCAATACTGATGTTGCAGTGCAATACTGGGGAGATGCTGCACTGCATGCTGCATTGTTGGTGCTATCTTCCCTATGAGATATTAAACTGGTGTCTCTTTTGCCTGTCTGTAATTGTTGTCTTGGTAGAAATTAGAGATCCCATGGCACTTTCAGGGGAAAAAATAGGAGATAATTCTGGTGACCTGGCCAGCTCCAAGGCTGTGTGATAACACAACGGTTGCTCTGTCTTCAGAATCATTGCTGTTTGATTCATTATGTTGTAAAATGCTTTGAATATCTTAGCTATGAAATAATAATTTAATATTTACAGCATTTTTATATGTTAGTGTTTTATATTTATAGCGTTATATAGATTGGTAATGTTCAGAAGCCCCAGTCAGGATTGTGCTGCTCATGGCCCCCGTCCCAAAGACATTACAATCTAAAAGGTATGAAATGTGCTACAACTAACCACGTTCTATTCTATTTGCAAAATCTTTTACATCAGTGTGGATTATGGAGAAAAAACATAGCAACCATATTTTCCTGAAATGTTTCCACTGTCAGGCTCAGATTTGGAGTGAGGTGCAATTTTAGGGTCTCATTCTCTACCCATATTAGTTTTACACCAGTATAACTGCATTGTCTTCAATGGAGTTACTTCAGATTAACACTGGTGCAAGAAAAAGAGCATCAGGCCTGTTGATTCCTCAAGTATGAAGTGTATTTTATGCTTTGTGAAAATTTCTTTTAAGACACTGGTGCTTTTAATGCAGCATCCAAAAGTAGGACTGCAGCTTTAAGCCACTGTCTATATTGTAGGTTGGGGATGAGGAGGGCTCAATTTACCATTGTTCTGCACCCTGTGTAGACATTTACACCAGATTAAGTGGGTGTAAAACACTGCCATTCTGATATGGTATTGTTTTACACTTATTTTGCATTCACTTGGCCCTGGTGTTAATGACTACACAAGGTTCAGGACAAATGGCAAATCAGGCCACTGCCTCTGTGAATCCTAGGAAACTCAGACCTGTTACTCGTTTGCAGGTTATATCATCTGTTCCTCCAGTACCAGTATTGCTCTGCTGGCCTTTGATGCGGTGGAAAGAGGCCATGGAGCCCACCTCAGACTTCTGGGGAGTCCAGTGCTGTCCTTAGAGCTAGACTCTTATCGTCTGTGCATACCAGGGCTGCAAGAATCACAGTTGTACCTGGTCTCTGGTCAGGGGCACCACAGGAACAAGGAGAGACTCCCTGAGTCTTTCTTCCCCTTGTACACCTGTGCAGGACCAGATAACACCTATTTCTAAGCAAATGAGAAATAGTGAAATGGGTCATGAGCAAGGCTGAATTTTGAAAATTGCTTCAGTGGCTTAGCAATTCTGCACTCTCAACACACTGTGGTTTGAGATGAAAATACAGGATAACTAACCAGTGCCTAAAGGCAGAGTACTTTGTATCTTTGAAGATCCTGGGGCTCACATAAATGTTTGTGATGAATCATCAAACAAAACCTTAAACTGTATTAAGATCATTTTTACTAAAACTTCGTAACCAGAAAACCTTAAACACAGGCACAGCAAGCAAAGCATGTATTTAAGAAGCAAGACTAAGAAGTGTTGTGGAAATAACACATTTTTCAATTTGGTGTCCAAACCAAAAAATTGAAAAAAAATTGTTTTGAGTTGAATGAAATGTCTGGTTTGATCCTAAACAAAATGTTTGTTTCATTTTCAAGTTCTGTTTTTTTTAAATCTTTTTTTAAATAAAATTGAAGCAAAATTCAAAACAAAGAGCCATTTCAAATTGAAAAATCAAAACATTTTGTTTTGAAAATTTCAAAACAAAACATTTAGACTTCTCTGGAATTCCCCTTCCTCCTCCCCTTTTTTTTGACCAAAAGAATTCAGTAAATTATACACAAATTTGCGAAATGTTTTGGTCAATCTGAATATGCATTTTTTGGCCAAAAAAATATATATATAATAATAATCTGAAAATTTTTGCCCAGTTCTAGGATTAAGAGCCAGACCCCAGCTGAGCACTGGCATATTCCATTGGCTTTAGTGGAAGCTTGGGTGTTGAGGAGCGCCCAGGCCCAGGCCCAAAGCCTTTCACTTCTAAGACACAGCTTCAACTTATATTGCCATAGTAACTACAAGAAATAGCTTCTAGTCACTTAAGCTTATTCCCTGCTAAAAGGATAACAACCCCCAACCCCAACATATAAACATATATGTTCCTGAAAAGAACACAAACCTTTCCCCCAGTTACTGAAAGTGGTATCAGGTCCACCAATGGAAACAAAAGGGCTTCTGTGTTTCTACATAAATCCCCTAAAAGAGGCTGCATTACAGCACCGGTAGATTGGTTCACAAGTACAGTATACGTTAAGTATTTGGGGATCCCACAAGGCTAAACTGCATGGTTTTACACCAGCAATTATACCATACTTGCACAGAGAATGTACACACTTTCTGCTTAAGAAACAGTGAACAGGCATAGCCATCAAACCTTACTCTTACCCCTTTTGACCCACACAATTTGCCAAATTTGGGGTGTTGTCAGTCGTTCAAGTTAAAAGGAGAAATTGATTATGTAGTCAGCTATTTTCTTTTATGAAATCTTGTTTATTTACAAGGAATGAACAAAATCCTGTTTTTCTGAATGCAGGAGGAACCAAACAAAAGGAGATAGTTTATTTTTGCTTATCGCCCCAAACCTCTTCAGCCAGCACCAGACCCAAAAGCCTTCCCACTAGGCTTCTCTTATGGTCACACACTGTGCTTGTTCAGGATGTCTCTCCCTCTCTCTGTGTCAGACAATACCCAGTGAACCCCTCTGCCCAGTTCATTCAAAATTTTGGGCAGCCATGTATTAATCTTTGTTTTGGGCAGAGACATGTACCTGTGTTTTTTGTTTGGAGACTGCTCTTATTTCAGCCACATCTGTCATATTATTTTTATATATGAGAGGCTGTAGGACTGCTCCTCACAAGTCAGGCTTCTGCATCAGATATAAACTGACTACATAGCTTACTTCTCAGAGAGATACATACCAGATGTATTCACCGTATGATCCTTTATTGCCAGGTATGGCAAAGGTTAGCTTTAAATAAGATATTTTACACACAGTGCCACCTAGTATAGTACAGTTTAGCATTCCATTACATCTCCCCCTTTAAGTTCTACATTCCTATCATTTACAAAATATACACCATCACACTACCTTTGAAGTTAAGTACATGTCAGTCTGTTAAGTGTCTCTGAATCATACTGGTTTTCTACTTGAACATGTAACAACTTGGTCATCTGGCTTTCCATAGGTTGCAATGACTGGCTGTGGTTGGTTTGGAATCTCTGAGTCTTCTTCTTGTTCTGCATCCACCATCTGAAGAGTTTGCTCTGTTAATTGTCCTTTCAGATGAACAAACTGTATATGTTGATGGTTTTTTGTTGAACTCTCCACTATCAGTCTCATTCACATATGATTTGAGTGCTCAATGTCCATCCTTTGTCTTCGTCCAATTAGACACGAACATGGTAACCAAGTTCTAGATCCGGCAGTTCTTTTATTCTTTTTATCGGATTTGGCTATTTTTAACATGTCTGGCCACTTTGGAGATAGATTCCTTTTCAAAGTCGGAACAGTAGTTCTGAGTTGTCTTCCCATCAGAGTAGTGTTGGACTATATCTAGTAGCTGCAGTTGGTGTTGATCATTAACTCAGAACAGCAAGGAATGGATCCTCCTTCTGTAGGATTTTCTTGGCTGTCTGCACAGCTCTCTCAGCTTCTCCATTTGCTTCTGGGTCATGTGGGCTGCTAGTAATATGATCAAAATCATATTTAATTCAGAACTTACATTTTGCTGTAGTGAATTGTAGTCTGTTGTCTATCACTAGTTGTTCTGGAATATTGAAATGAGCCAAAGTGCACTTCAGTTTCTTGATATCACTGCGGCACGTTATGTCTTTCAAGTTCATTATTTCTATATACCTGGAAAAAGAGTCCACCATGACCAGATAATGATGTCCTCTGAATTCACATAAATCTGCAGCTAATCTCTTTCGAGGTTTCTCTGGTAGGGGAGTTTGTACACTGTATGGTTCAGCTTTTTCTCTTAAGTTGTTTTGTACTGGATCGCCTTTCAAAAGTCCAGTAGCATCAAATCCTTTATTGAGTTCTTCCCCCTTTATCAATAGGGCCATCATAGCTGCTACATTGTGATTCCATGCACAGTGAATGCATAGCTTTTGTCTTAGTAAGTTGTTTCTATGATGAATTGGCCCATGCAGTTCAGAATACTGTCAGAACTGTGTCAGGCAATGTCATCTCTGGGAAGGGTTTAAGGTGACTGTAAGTCCCTTCTGAGATGACTGTGATGTCAGCTCCTGAAATAATTTTAAAGTCAAAAGTCTTGCCATGAATATTTAGTTTCACTCTCCAAGCAGGTTCAGTATTGTCACTAGTGATGGATCCCAGAAACAATGGCTCTTGATTGTCTTAATATGTGTCAACTCCCTGACTGCTTTGGTGTGGCAAACAGCTGCAAAGTACATTATACCTTGCACCTCTGACTGAACATGCGCCTTCTCTTGGGATATAACTTTTCCATACATTGTGCATGTACGCTGTCATTTGTCTGTCAGCCTAGGAGCTCTCTCCTTGCCTCAGGGGTTTTATGATAATGACTTTTAGCACTCAAGTGTCTGCTTACAACTTCTAAGTTAG